AAAAAAAAATAAAGGTTCCAATGGGAGAGAGAAAGGGGAAGAGAAGAAAAAAAATTTTTTTTTATTATATTATTAATTTTTTTCCATGTCATTATCATAAAGTCTAAGTTGGACTTGCTAACATATAAAAAAATCTGAATTGGCACTGACATATGAATATATAACGGAAATTAATGATACACGTGCTGCACATGATCTTCGACGTTAAATTTTACTTTATTTCCCTAAACTCGAAAATATAAAGGGTAAAAAATCATATATTATAATATGAGAGGTAAAATGCCTCAAATTCAAAAAGTTGAAGGGCAAACGAAGGGTTTTTACCTCGACGCTCCTCTATTATGGGTGATTTTAAGGACTTAATTGGAAACCGATAATTTTAGATAAATATTTCATTGTTTATAAATTAAAATAAATACATGCAATAATTTAATACAACAGTTAAATTACATCAATGCCCTCATAATCAATGGTGGTGTTGGCTTAAAGTTTAGGATTGACCCTCCAATTATCATGGGTGCAAGGTCAAGACTGGTTTGAGAAGAGAGTGATGGAGATAGTGATGGAGATAGGGATAGAGATGGAGATGGATACGAGGGGAAAGGGAAATCTATTATCAAATTTTAATTTTTAAATAAATGAAAATAGTGACTAATGATGAGGCCTGAGGGTGTAAACAGTTTGTTCATCAAAAATTTAAATGTATAAGTGACGTGGCAAAGCAAAGAAGAGGATGTTGAAATGGAGAGTGCTAGAGCGAGTTCTCTAGCACTCCTCCGGAGTAGTGTAAGACTTTTTTCCATGAAAAAAATTAATTATTTATCATTATACAGTTTTAAACATTAATTTTAATCTTAAATTAAAAGATTTAAACTGGTGAATGGAATCGGGAGAGCTCTTGTTGCTGCTTTAAGATAAAGATGGGAGACAAAATGATGTTGCAAGATTGCTCATTCGTAGACAGCAGCACGTGGGTTTGGACCCATTTTCTAGACAGCTGGCGCCTATCGATAGATGTCAATTTTACTGAAAAATTAGTTTAAAGAATTATTCTATAAAAAAAACTTTGCGGAAAATTATATGTTT